TAACTTCTCTCCTGACCTCCATTCTCACATCTCCAACTCTCTATTGGACATCTCAAACCAGAGGTCCCATAGACACCTTACACTCCCCATGTCCAAAAACTGAACTCTTATTATCTTTCCCCTAAAACCCGTCTTCACTTCCCTATTATTGTCTAGGACAATACTATCGTCTCCCTCAAACAGACTTGCAATGTAGGTGTCACCGTCAATGTCTCCTCTCTCTCACCTGCCCATGTCCAATCGTGTCAGTCCTCCTCTCTACCTTCATGATATCTCTTGCATAGAGATGTGCTCTGGACACTACCCCAGTAATGCAAGCACTCACCACCTCCCATCTGGACTATTGCAACAGCCTGCTGATTGGTCCCCCTGCCTCCAGTCCATCCTCCACTTAGCTGTCAAAGTCATCTTCCCAAAGGGTGGGCCTGACCGTGTTATCCCCATATTCCATAAACTCCAGTGGTTCCCTATCATCTACCGGATCAAATATCAAATCCTTTGCTTGGCTTGTAAAGTCTTTTATAACTTGTTCCCTCTAACTTTCTAGTCTTCTTACACCTTACTCCATCACCCCATTCACCTCACCCACCCCACCCCACTCTCACAAACACCACACACTCAGTGATCCACTCACAGTGGTTGTTCCCTGCACAGGATACACTATGCCCCCAATCTGCCCATTGTCACTGGCTGTCCCACATACCCGGAACTCTCTCCCTCCTTATCTCTGCCTCCTGGCCTCCCTGGCATCCAAGTCCCGGCTTTACAAATATTATTTCAGGTGATCCTCACAACAGCCCTGAGAGCTAGGTGCTATTCTTATCTTCATTTAGTTAAGGAAACAGAGGCAAACAGGGATTAAGTGACTTGCTCAAGGCCATACAGCTAATAAATGTCTGAGGCTAGATTTGAACTCAGGTCTTCCTGACTCCAGACACAAAGCTCTATCCATTTTGCCACCTAGTTTTTTTGTTGGACATTCAATGTTTTTGTTTGATTCAGACCCTAGGCCTGTTTTCATCCCTTTTTGAATCACCACTGACCTCCTGCCCACCCCTTAGCACTATGTTCAGCCCCACTATTGCGCTCAGACCTTCTTACACCCCTTCGCCCTGTGCCCATACCTGACCTCCACACTCATCCCTTCCTTCAGTGCCCATCACTCACCCCACCGTGCCGGTCCTCTGCTCCTGACACGCACCGCTGACTCGAGGGTGGAAGGTTCTGTTGGAGTGCAGGGCAGCCTCTTTCCTCATGCACTGAAAGAGGTGTGGAGGGGGATGGGGAGGGAGAGAAGAAGCTGGGAGGAGGACCACACCCCACTCTGCCCCGCCCCCGCAGAGCAGCCAGTCTGGACCACCCCGAAGCAGCCTAAAGAGAGAGCCACAGGGGCAGGCCGGCTGGTAACTTCGCTCCAGAGGCAGCCCCACCCGAAAGATCGACCTTATAATAACACAGCTGGGGAACCAAGGAGTGGTCGATCTTTCCCTCCCCTCCCACACACTCCCAATTCCACCAGAGGAGCTCTGAAATCCAGAATAGAGTGGTGAGGCAGGAGCTCTTTCTCTCCCTTCGTCCCCACCGTACCACATTCAACCTGTATCCCGACCAAGCCAAGAGGGGCAGTGACAGAGAGGGTCCGTGGGTACTCACCTGGGGCAGTTCGGCCAGGACACGGTCCCTCCGCACTGGAGCCAGGATGTTCATCCTCTCTCCTTGGAGCCACAGACTAGAGAGATGGTGGGGGGGAAGAGAGGTCTGACCAGTGGGACGGGGATCAGGCGAGGCAGCCCCTCGGGTCTCACCATCACCCCCCCTCCCCACGCAGACTCCTGGTCCAGTGCACCAATTGTGTCTAGCCTACAGGTATCCTCGTTCTTGCGGGTGGGGGAAGCCCCAAGACAATAACCTGGGAGTTCCCTGAGAACCGACCCTCTCAACCTAGGGAGCCAAACAGAATCCACCATAGCAGGGATTTGGGGAGGACCCTTCCAAAACGCAAGAGTGGAAGAGATCTCTCATCCCAACTATGACAAAGAAACTGTCTTAGAAAGTAAGCTTCCTGAGGGCAGGGACCGTTTCAGTCTTTGTTTTTGTATCCCCAACACCTAGCAAATGCCCGACACTGGGCAGGAACTATTTTGATAAATGCTTGTTGACTCCTGGAGGAGGAGGAGACCATGAAATCCAAGCATGAGGGAACTTTCCAAAACTCTGGGGTGGGGGAAGAGGCAAGGATCAGAAGAATCCAGGAGAACAGCCCTACCGCTCCGGGTCGTCGTGGGCACCCAAGAGGGAGGGAGCTGGGCAGGGAGGGAACTAAGGCACAGTCTGAGGATCCCAGATCTAGCTGGAAGGGACATTAGAAGTCATCTAGTCCAATTCCTCCCCATTTTATAGATGAGAAAAGCTGGGCGGGGGTAGGGGGTAGATTTAGAGATTTGCCTAAAGTCACTTTAGTGTCAGAGTCGGGACTTGAACCTAGGTCCTGTGCTTCCAAATTCTGGGCTTTCTTTCCTTCGATACACTGCGCGCTGCTAACCATCTCCGCAGTGCTCGCTCTGTAACCCGATCCCCGGAAATTCCAGAACAGAACGGCGCCCCCCACCCCCACTCCTCCTGTGCTGGACTGGGATTCTCGGGCTGCTTCACTGAGGGGGCTACTGGGCTACCCCACTTACCGAGATCTCCTCGCGTGGGTCAGGGTATCTCCCGGGGTCCGTGGCCACCTACAGCTGATCCCCCTTCGTGCCCGCTGCCCATCTACACTGGGCCACACCTATACACCCATGGCCAGGCCATGCCCGCCAGAACTAGATGCGGGTCGTGCCCTCGGACCACGTACACATTCCTCATGTGGATCGGTGGGGACCCTTACCTTCTTACCAAGAGAGAGCGGAGCCACGGGCTAGGCCGGGATCGTTTCGTTGAGAGAGAATGAAGAAACTTGCCAGAGCAGGCGGGTCGGGGAGGGGAGGAGGGGACAAGGGAAAAGGGAGGAAAGGAGAGAGGGAGGAAAGGAGGGAGGAGAGAGAGGGGCGCACAGAGCCGAGGGGCGGCGCCTCCTTCTTCTCCAACTCCCCCGGCGTGAGTCACATAGTCTGCCAGACGCCTCTCCCCTCCCCCCTTCCCCCTGGCTGGGGGCTGGGGTGGGAGGTGGGTACAGCCAGTCCCCTGACTCTGGACCACGAGGGACTCAGGGCCGATGATGCGAGCCAACAGCCACGATGACCCTTGGTGTGAGTGTGTATGCGTGTGTGTACCAGCTCTGTACCCTGGCATAATGATACCCTCTTCTCCATATGTTAACCTCTACCCTTACCTCCAGCCCCATCACCCTTTTTTGGCAGGTTGATGTCTCAGAGCCCATGGAAGAAGAACTTTTTGAAGTCTGAACAACTTAGAACTTACATTTCCTCTCTGTCCTGTGAAAGACACGCCCCGCCCCCCAAACGCAGCTCTCTAAGGCTGGAGGGTAGACACAAGTTTCCCCTTTATTATCCGGTTCCATGGGAAGAGAAGGACTTAGTGGAGGAGTGCCGGTACACGAATCAGCCCCTCAGCTTCTCTTCTTTTTGAGGAAGCCAGAGATGTGGGGAGATAACTCCTTTGCATACGCCTTCCCCTGTCTCCCCACTCCCCCTTTCCAAGCTAGGCTCCCGCTACGTACTGAGCTATCCTTCCAGTATTTTCCAAGGGATTTTCCAAGGCCCTACCGGTACTGGAAAGTGATGGAATTGGGAGATAGTCCGGGCAGGAACAGTGGGGGAAATTAGTATCCAAAGGACTGGGGGGGAAAGGCCAGCTTAGAATGAGCCAGTGTCTAAACGCTGGGGAAGGTTATGTGAAGAGAATGATTCACAGGAACGACCTGGAATTCCTGGGAGGAACTGGAGCATTGCACCAGCATTTTGACAGTTTACCGGATTAGGGACGTGTCCTAAGAGCAAACTGTCAGAGTATCCACCGAGGCAAGGCCTCTCAGCCTCTCCCCGCCCCCCCCCCGCCCCCCCCCCCCCCCCCCCCCCCCCCCCGCCTGTACATTTCTGTTGCTATGTCACACAAACTATGACTTTAAGCGAGTTAGTTCCCTTCTTTGGGTCTAAGTCACTTCGATTGTAAAGTGGAACGGAGTTGACTGAAAAAAAGGTCTTTTGCCCTCTGACATGCTGATTGCAGCATTTCTGCCCAGAGTTCTATGTCTCTCCCACCTGGCTGCATCTACAATCTCTGTCACTTTCCAGCCCTTTCTACTCTCCATTTTCATTTTTTTAATATTATTCCATGTAATTCAACATTTTTTTAAACGACTACTAAGTATAAAGCACGTAAATGAGAGGCAGGGCTGCGCTGGCCAAGAACGCTGGGTGGTAGAGTCACTGGACCTGGGGTAGAATTCTTGGTCGGCCACTTACAACCTGGCTGACCTTGGTCAAGTCACTCTGAACCTGATTCTCAGCTGTAAAGGTGAGGGACATTGAACTAGATCACCTTTAAGGTCCCTCAGGAACTGGTTGGTTTTTTGTTTGTTTGTTTTGGTTTGGTTTTTTTGTCTTTATATCTACGTTACCTGGCACAGGGTACAAACTTAATAAATGCTTGTCGATTGGCTACCTGATCCTGCAGGGTAGTTTAACAAGAGGAAAGGGTCTCTGCCCTCACAGATCTAGGCTCAGATCCCTTCACATTCTCCCACCTCGTATGCCCATAGTCTCCCCGCCTTCTACGTTGCGCGCCTTGATAAAGCTAGTAAGCAAAGTAGCTCAGAACTGAGCTCCCGAAAACAGCACCTAGGTTCCAAACAGCCACGTGTCTGCAACAAACTACATTTCCCATGAAGCCTCGGGATGGATTGGCGCATGCTTAATTCGGCGCTCCTTCTTCCGGGACCGGGGTAGAGTTTGAACTACTAATCCCGAAAGCCCCTGCGTCGGATTTTCCCCACCACCGCCATAATCAAGATCCCCTTAGTCTCGGACTCTTTCCCGTAGTTCTCTTCGGAGGCCTTGAAGCTTCGCGAGGTTTGAGCGAGAGTTAGCTCTATAAGCCCGTGAGAAGCACCGCGGAAGACCCTTTCCCCCAAGATGGCGCCGAAGGCCAAGAAGGAAGGTAGGTGAGGGGGCCCAGGCCAGGGGAGAGGCCGGGGCGGCGACGGCCGTAGGGGCCAGGCAGCCCGGCGGGGGCCGGGGAAGCTGTGTCCGCGCGCGCCCTGGCCCTGCTGGAGGCACTGACGCCGAGGTCGCCCTCAGGCGGACCACGTGGGCCAGGCCCGACTCAAGCCCGGCTGTCTCCTGCCCCAGCGTCCGGGGACCCGCGGCCCTGCCCGTACGAGGACGTGTCCTCCCCGCCCCTGGCTCTCTCTCACTGCGCCGGCCTACTCGGGGCTTTGCGCGGGCGCCCGTCCCTCCGGGCCCCTCTTTTCCCCCGCGGATCCCGGCCCGCCTGGCGGGCAGAGCAGAGCGCCGAACTCGATTCCAGACCCTGGGAGCGACTTGGGGAAGACCGAGCCCCGGCGAGTTGTGTCAGATGACAGGGGTCGGATGAGAGCCCCTTCTTGGTGTGAGGGTCCGACTTTTCCCTGTTGTGCGCTTAGCACGGCCCCCTGGCACGGTGGTGCTCAGTCGTGTCCGACCCCGTGGGCCATTCGTGGCACCCCACGAAAACCGCAGGTTTTCCTGGCAGAGACACGGCAGTAACTTGCTATGCCCTTCTCCAGTTCATTTTACAGATGAGAGCGCTGAGCAAACAGCATTAAGTGACTTGCCCAGGGTCACACAGCTAGTAAATGTCTGAGGCAAGATTTGAATTATGGGCTTCCACTGAGCCACCTAGCTGCCTCCCCCTTCCCTTCCTGTAGTAGGCTTTTAACAAACGTTTAATTAACTGACCCGAAATTTGATAAAGCAGGTGGACTCCTTCGAAGAATGAGGTTTTTAAAGGAATAAAACAAAACCCATGGAAGCACAAAGAAAACCACTATATTTTTTTAAAAATACAGCTGTTTAGAGCTTAGGAAATGCATTTTTGGAACCCAAGTGGAGAACCCCCTGGGCATTTTGATCCCTGAGGCCCCTTCCATAGTAAATGCCCAGACAGGATATGAGCTGTTTGGGGGCAGGAAGTGTTCCTGTGCCTCTCACCTAGTAGTTTAAAGATTGATTCCATAATTCTGTACCCAGACCCAGAGGATTTCACCGTAAGACATTTAGCCTCATGCCAATGATGGATACCTAGATTTTCCTGAGAATAATGATGTTGTCAAAGGAACCACTGATGGCATTGGGGTGGTTGGGAGCAGCTCCTCGTTGACCAGGAGAATCTTGTGGACTGATTACTTTTTCTCTCTGTCCCCAAGTGGTTGTCCCCCCCAAGACAGAAGCTAAGTCCAAGGCCTTAAAAGCCAAGAAGGCAGTGCTGAAGGGTGTTCACAGCCACAAGAAGAAGAAGATCCGAACGTCTCCCACATTCCGGCGACCCAAGACACTAAGACTTCGCCGGCAGCCCAAATACCCCAGGAAAAGTGCCCCTCGGAGGAACAAGTAGGACTTCATTGCTCTGGGGTCTTGTGGGTCCCCGGGAGGACTTGTAGCTACAGGGCAAACGTGTCTGGAGCTTGTGGGGAGGGGGTGTTTGCTCAGGACCTCCCCCCCCCCCCCCGGCCTTTCCTGCCTCATCTTTTGAGTTCCTGAGTGGGCTGGTCCTCCTAGAAAGATCAATACCACTTGATAATAAGCAGGGCAGCACTTAGACATTCTAACAGAGGAACATAAACCACTTAGAGCATTAAGAAATTTATGAGGAGCTGAGAATTCATGCAGTTGATTCCAGGGTAGTGAAGGCATCCAGTGGGAAGAGGATGAGTGTAGGGGTGGTTGAAGCTATGGGTAGGAGTGGAGCCTTCGATTTAATTCATTTGGACCAATCAGGCTTTGGGAGTGGAGAGAGCATGTCCATACACTTCCCTCCAAGTCCCCAGGTATCTTTCTCTTTGTAAGATGGCTGGAATTCGAGACAGCAGTACAAAGGGTGGAGGCTTTGAAAATAGTTGTGCTCATGGTTTGAGATTTGTCATGGGTGAAGAAAGTGGGAATGGACGCCAGTACTGCAGCCTCACTTCTGTGTGTGGACCCATTGGAGCCAAATAGAGTGGGAAGTATACGAACTAGGTCCCTTTACTGGTTTGGAGTTTAGGAAGCGCCTGACCCAGAAATGTTGTCAGTTCTGCCCTTGTCTTAGATGTTCCAGAGGGGGCCAGTCTCCCCAGTTACCTGAGCCACTTTCTTCTACGCCCACTTCCACATTTCTCCCTTGGCAACATAAGAAGGGTATACCTTTTCTTTAAAGGACTGTTGTGAGGATCAGTTTTCCCCATAGAAGGAAGCCAGTTTTCCAGATGTTGGAAGTGTTTTGTCTTTGTGTCCACCATTCCTTTTCCATAGTAAGTGCTGGTTGAATGAGTGTGAAATGAAAGGAACTTCCCAGTAGGATTGTGGTTCCTCCTCAGGCTAAGCTGTCTAGCTTTCAGGGTGCAGATGATGACACCCAAAGCGACCAAAGTCTGAGTAAAGTGATTGGCAACCTCAGTGTCTGATGCACCCTGCTTTCCCTGCAGCCTTAACAGTGAAAGGAGCAAGCTACCTCAGTGATGCTTTGGACCATTTTATCCACAAGGAAAAGAAAATGGTGATAGGAGGAACATTTTTATTTCAAAGTAAAAAATTTGGTTCTGTTGATAAAAAGCATCCCTGGTTCTTGTAATGTTAGGGGCCTGTTGATGTGCCTCCCCTTTTCCCTCCCAGGCTTGACCACTATGCCATCATTAAGTTTCCCTTGACCACTGAGTCCGCCATGAAGAAGATTGAGGACAACAACACACTGGTTTTCATTGTGGACGTCAAGGCCAACAAGCATCAGATCAAGCAGGCCGTCAAGAAGCTCTATGACATTGACGTGGCCAAGGTCAACACGCTGATTCGGTGAGCGAGGGCTCCTCCCGGGGCGGGATCCCCAGCGCAGGTGGCACTTCGTCCACATGACAGCTCGGGGGGCCAAAGGAAAAGGTGGGTGGGCCCTGAAACTTATCAATTCATCTTACCCATGTGACAGTCTCAAGCCCACACTGAGGTCGAGAGACAGGTTTGGGGTGGGGAAGCATCCTGCAGTCCAACATAAGTATGCTTTGGCCTGACTGCTGGTGAGATTTTATTGCCTTTTCCCTGGGTCCTGACCTGTGCCTTGGCACTTGGAACAAGGATGAAATTCTCCAGTGAAGAAAGGACAGGGAAATGATCTAATCTGGAACTAGAGCTGTAAACTGAGACCTTGTGTCTTGGGACCTGTTCCCAGTGCTTGTGCAAATGATGGAAAATACCATTTCACAGAGAAAAGTGATGCTAACAAAGGAACCACTGATGCACGACATAAGGAAAAGGGTAGAGACTTTGGGAGAGGTGCTACATTCTGTGTGCTAAGGTCACCTTTTCTGTCCTAGGCCTGATGGAGAGAAGAAGGCCTATGTCCGACTTGCTCCAGACTATGATGCTTTAGATGTTGCCAACAAAGTGAGTATTGAAGGTGGCCACCTTCTCCTTGGGTGACCGAAGCCTGAGCCTCAGTGAAGACTCTGGGTGGCTGATGCACCCAGTGACCACCTAGGCTGCAGGGATGGGTTGCCCTTTGGCGGGAGCATCCTGGCCCAGCCACCTGCTTTTCTTGCCCCCTTCTGTCTAGCCTGTTCCCAGCCCTCCTGAGCTCTTTGGTAATACTGTTGCCTTTTGCTTTTCAGATTGGAATCATCTAAACTGTGTCCAGCTGTCCCACTCCACCTACAATAAAAGTTTTCCAGTATATTCATGCTTGTCATCTCTGGGGGGGGGGTCCCCATGGGTGGCCTTTCTGGCAGGTTACCCAGCCTCCCTAGACCATTTCCTCACTTTCACAGGGAAAGGTCTGGACAAGGTTATGCTTCTCAAAGAAATTGCCATCACTGTTCTCTTCACTTTGTGGCCCTGCAAGTTGTCCCCTTTCCCTAGGGCTCAAGCCATCATACTCTGGTTGCTTAAACAGTACCCTCTCAGTGCCTGACAACTGTTTACTCCCAGGAGGGTAACAGTGGGGGAAGGGAAGGAGCCATAGCTACTCTGTGTCCAAAGGGAGAGAAAAAAAAAGGAGCCCTGGGCCAGAGCCAAGGGAAGGAGGAGGAGGGAACAGGCATTAGGGCCAAGAGCAGGGAAAGGCTTGATGGGCCTGGTGCTTCTTTGTCCACAAGACTGCCTTCAGAGGGCTCAGTACTGAAATCTTGTGGGCTTCAGTTTTGTTTTCCCCCCATCTCTAGGAACGTGGGGAGGAGAAATCAAGACCCTTTGGTAGTGCGAGGTTAACTGTTCCTTTATGTTCCCAAGTATAACTACTGACCTCTAGCTTCCAAGCAAGTAGTTGAATAAGTTGGTGGGTGGTAACAGGGTAGTAAAACCTGTATTTCTTGTGTTGTTAGGGGGAGTTTTAAAATTAGCCCTATATATGGGTTACAGAGCATTTTACGTGATCCTTGTTCTGGACAGATGTTTCCTTCCATCTGGCTTTACCAAGAGTCTTCCCCCAAAGCTGCCATACCCAAAGGAGCCGGCTTCCCTTGACCATAGAAAGGATTTCCAAATAGTGTGCTGTGGGATTTTTTGGCTTTTTTTTTTTAGTGTCTTCAATAGTACATCTATGTTGGTAGAGAAATAGCTGCCTGTACCAGGAGAGGTACTAGGCCACAGGGATATAGTAAGTCCCCAAAGTTATCAAAGGACAAAGCAGATCTATTCAGTCAGAAACTTGTCTTTGTTATGCCGAAGGGAAGCTCTCTCTGGGCAGAAGTCTGAGCGAAGGAGGCGGGAGAAGTAGATGAGAATCATAAGATCCACCAGCAACAGGATGCTGAGCAGAAAGGCACCCTCTGTCCTCTCCCCCAGGTACCGAAGGAAAAAGCTGGTGAGGTAGGCCTGGGGGGCCAGGCGAAAGAGGAAGTACATGACCAAATTGATGTACTTATTGACCCGGTAGAAAAGGCAGTCCTGATGGTTACTGAGCTTCATCATCATTCTCATCGTGAGGAAGATGTTGCTGACTTCCACAAACAGAGTCATGACCCCACCGGCCACAAAGCTCCCCTTAAAGATGCCCGAGGCAAAGGCGGCAATAGCCTGGAGGAGAGATGGCAACGGAGGGTCCAGGGTCAGCCAACCCTGACTGATACCCTGGGGGCCAAGCATTGAGTCTTACAAGTAAATTCAGAAGGTGTTCAGCCCAGGTGCTACAAAAGCTAGAGGGCCCCTGATCTAGAGAGAGATAGGGGTTTCCCTGAGATGGTCCCCTATTTCCTCCCAAAGAGTCATCCTACTGCAGAACTCTTTAACCTGGGATCTTATATACACTTTGGTAACCACATTTCAATACAACTAGTTGGCTTCCTTTCCTATTTATTTTGTATTTAAAAACTTAAGTAGGGGTATCCCCAGGTCAGGGACTGACCTTCTTTGTAGAGAGACCTTTCCAGATTTCCAGTTCAGGCTGACAGATGTCTCTTAGGCCAGCTCTTTGAGATATTGCTTTCACGTACATTAGCCTTCTACCCTAGTCTTCTCTCAGGGCAGAGGAAGCTGGTAGACCCAGTCTGACGGCCACAGTGGGCAAGGCAGACATGTGGGAACAAGGCAGACATGTGGGAACATGCAGGCAATGCTCAGGGACTGCCCGGCCCAGATTCTTGTCATGGGCTTCCAGACTACTGCTACTCCTGGGTCACCTGTCCCCTTCCCATGTCGTTTTTTTTGTTTTGTAAGTAAGTGTCAAGTGTTTGGTCTGAGGCTGTATTTGAACTCAGGTCCTACCGACCAGAGCCTGTGCTCTATCCACTTTGCCACCTAGCTGTCTCCACCCCCTAGTTTTGAGCAGCCTTTAGGGAATAGGACTGCAGTTTCTTAAGCCTCCTTGCACACATGATTTGTGTTCCTTGCAATTTGTGGAATCAGCCTTGGCTAGAGGTTCCTTCTCAAATCTCAGTTCCAGAATTATAAAATGTGTCAAATTCAATGCCCAAATGTCTCTTGTACTTTATGCAGGGGGTATTCTGTGCCTCTTGCCCTGCTGGAGCAACTGTCCAAGAGCCCCTTCCAGGTGGAAGTATTCTGTAGCCCAGTGCACTTGGGGAAAAGGGAGAATGGAACAGTCTGTTCCTACCACAGGGCTGGGAAGATAAAATCCTACCCCACCCTCCAGGAGGGGGATAAGAAGAAATGAATTTGATAAGTGCTGACTCCCGGGTTTCTACCACATCTCCATCCCCATGCCTCTAGCTCACCAAGACATGGTGGACCAAGTATTCCCAAGACGCCTGGGCCTGCTTGCTTGCCACGATGTCCACTGTGTCATGGATGAAATAGCCTGGAGAAGACAGGAAGCAAGTAAGGCCATGGCTCAGCTGGCCAGAAAAGGGGTCTTGGGGGCCCTCATTTACATACATGCATCCCCACCCGCCAGAACCCCCAGCTACCACCTACCCGTAGAGAAGCAAACGAGCAAATAGCCAGAGACCGAGGAGGCCGTCTCAAGCTCCACCAGCATCTCCGGGGTCCGCCAGACGCTGTGGGAAAAGGGGAGGAGGGAAAGAGTGGGCAGATGGGGAGATCCCTCATCACTCCACCGGCCCCGAGAGCCTGGCTCCCAAGTGGGGGAGGGGGGGGTGTTCCGAGAGGCCAGCCCTCCCGATTGGCCGCAAAGGAAGGGACTGGGTGGGGCCAGACGCTGGGCGGAGCCTGGCCGCCGTCCAGGTACCTCCGGTTTCCCAGGTGAGAGTTCCCCCTCTCCCACTTTCCGCCCCCCGCCCGGCTCTCGGTTGGCCGGGATTCCAAAGCGGGAATCAGGTGAGGCTGCCGCGCGCAGCCCGCGCCCCCTCCTCACTCACCAGAGCAGAGCCCAGAGGCCGGACACAATGGAGTGGGCCAAGGAGACTAGCAGGTTGTGCCAGCGCCAGGTGCGCAGGGGGTCGCCCCGCACGTGGACGGGCAGGGGCAGCCGGCTCAGCAGCAGCAGCGCGGCGCGGAAGGTCAGCGTGGTGGCCAGCAGCAGCAGCGCGGGGGGCAGGGGCACGGGCATGAGGTCGCGCTGGGACGCCGCTCCCGGCGCCGCTCCCGATGCGCCGCGTCTGTCGGGGCCAGCTCTCGGACTGTCAGCGGCAGCCGGCCCCTCTGTCCGGCTCCCCGCCGGCCGGCCCCTCCCCGCGGCGCCTCTGCCCCCGCCCCCTCCGCCCGCGAGGCGCTCCGCCCACCGCCTCGGCCTCCGCCTCCTCCTCTTCCCCCCCCCTCCTCGGCCAGGCCGGGGGCTTCCGCGCCCATCCCTCCCCGGGCAGCCTCCCGGCCGGGGCTTCGAAGGGAGCCACGGAGGGCCGGCCCGCCCCCCGGCCCGCACGTAAACCAACTTTCCCAAGTTGTCCGGAGAAGGTCTGGAGCGGGGAAGGGGCGCCTGCCTCCCGCCCCGTCCAGGCGTGCTCACCTGCGGAGCTCCCGGAGTCGGGGAGACGGGTATTTCGGCCAGGGGTGGCTACCGGTGCCTGCGGACGGAGTGTCCGGTAGCGGGAGCGAGAACTGCTGCCGCCTGGAGTGGGAAGCTTGTGAGCGGGCGTAGGGGACAGCCAGGGATTCTTTCCGGCTTCCCTCCGCCCTCTCCCCTAGCCCCCTCCCCCAGCCTCATTAACCCGGAGCGTCCCCGGGCGAGTTCCCTCCTGCCCCGGCTTCCCCCGCCTACAGCCCGACGCCACGCCGGGGAAGGGAAGGGGCCGGGCGCTCCTGCTCCGCGCCCCATCCCTGGCCCCGGGGCCCCACGCCCACCCTCCGGCCTCTCCGGCCCTTGGAGTGACCTTCGCTTTCCCCAGGCCGGCGGAGCTCTGTCCCGCCCCGTCGGACCCCATGGCAGGCGTTTGTCCCCGCCGGCTCGGGTTAGCCCTCCCTCTTTGGGGTGCTCCGCCCCGCCCCGCTCGTGTCCTGGGACCCAGATGTCCGGAGCAGCTGCCGACCTGAGCCACTAGGTGTCAGTGTGGCTGCACAGTGGAGCCCCCAGCCCCCTATGTCCAGCCCCAGCCAGAGGAGGCGAGGGGGCGTGCGCGCGTGCGTGAGTGTGCGTGTGCGCGCTTGTGAGCTGGAGGCACACACAGTGTGATGGAGGCGGTGCATTTAGTAAGTGCCTGCTGTGTGCTACGCACGTGACAAATACGATCTCATTTGGGTGGGAGCTCAGGGCTCCATCGAGGTGTCCCCCAAATTCAGTGCCTAAACCGTTGCTAGATGCTCACTTTCCTCAACTGTAAAAAATGGCAGCGTCCATAATTTCCCACTTCAGTTGCAGTTTAAGATTTGCAAAGCTAGTGTCCCTGTTATTAGCCCCATTTTACAGATGCAGACATTGAGGCCCAGAGAGGCCCAGGGACTTGCCCCAGTTTGCAGAGCTGGGATTCAAACGGTCTGGATACCAAGTCCAGTGTTCTTGGTGGTCTAAAAGACTGGGTCAGACTGATCCGTGGGAGGCAGATGGGTCAGAGGGCCTGACTGGGCCTTCCAAGCTCCAGCTCGGTGGTCCTCAGAAGCTCTCTGGGTCCCAACGGTCTAGGATACTGAGGGGCCCCTCACTCCTGTATCACTGGGAGAAGAGAGGGCCAGCGCCCCGGCTTGCTCTCCCTGTAAGCCTCTGCTCACACTTGAATGTCCCCGAGGCCCCCTCCTGCTCTTTTCCCCTTCCCCAAACCCCAGAGATGTTTACTTTCCCCCTGGAATAGCTCCTCAGCTTACACATTAACCCCAGCTTGGTTCCCCAAGCCTGGACCCAAGCAAGAGAAAGATGTTTCCGAGAAAGTCATGCTTGTCTAGAAATACCCACCCCCAACCCATCTCCATCCCACGTCGCCATTCTTTGCTCTGGGGCCCCCACCCCACTCCTAATAAAACTCACTTAGCTTTGACCTGCTACCCCCCACCCCCTCCCGTGTTTCCAGGCAGGGACAGTTTCAAGGACACCAGATCTCTTAAGGGGGTGAAGAGGAGACAAGCCAGAACCCTCAAGGTTTCAAAGATACCATTCTCCCAAGACTTCACACTTTCCATAACTCCAAAGCCTTTCTGTTATCTATTATAAGGCAGCTAGGTGGTGCAGATACAAACCAGAATTCAGAATTAGGAAGACTTGAGTTCAAATCCAGCCTCTGATACTTACTACATGTATGATGCCAGGCAAGTCACTTAACTTCTTAGCCTCAAGTTTCCTTATCTAAAATGGGATTCGTAATAGCACCTACCTCCTAGGGTTCTTGTGAAGTCCAAAGGAGTTAACATACGTAAAGTCATACAGGTAATAATTATTATTATTATTGTGGCTATGTGGGAGCTGCTTGAGGGCTGGGACCTTGTCTTATCCAAACCTATACCTCCCAAAGGGCCTAGCCCCATGCTACCTTGATGGCACAGTACAGGTTGAATCTGTGATTCCTGTTACCAAGGTTGAAGGGGTGAGGCAGAAACACAGACCACTGGAGATGGGGGTGGGGGGGTCCTAAGTTATTTTCCTATCTTCCAGCTTCTATGTCTCCTACATTCCTCTCCCACCCACTCAGAAGCCAGAGAAGCCCAGGACTCATCTAATTATCATCATGCCCATTATTATGAGGTATTTATGGTGCTGTGGAGAGCCTAGAATTAGGCCCACTTGCTGTTTGAGACCAGAGAGCCGGCTTCCATGAGGGGCCAGGGAGGACCCTGAATGTCATCGGACCTGCCCTTCCCCAGGCCCTCCAAGGGCTGAACCTTAACCACACTGGCCCCAGCTGGCTCAGGTGATTTTCTCTTCTCTATGCCTATACAAATTAAGTCATAGCAACCTCCAGATGATTAACTGACCTATTTTGCAATCATGAACTTTAATGAGAAGTGAAATCCTTCTTACCTTCAAAACACACACACATACACAGACCCCTGGCCTTGACCTGACCGCTCCTTTCTCCTTTCAACTACCTTCCTGTCAAACTTTGAAAAAAGACTGTATTTACACTTAATGTCTAGAACAGGAGGGGCAAACCTGTGGCAAGTGGCCCTCTAGGTCCTCAAGTGCTGCCCTTTGAATCCAAGCTTCACAGAAGAAATCCCCTTAATACAAGGATTCCCCACCCCCGGTCTAGAATGTTCCCCCTCCTCCTCTCCAAAGATGGACCTCCCTTACTTCCTTTAAGTTCCGACTAAAATCCCACCTGGTATAGGAAACCTTCCCTAACCCCTCTTAATTCCAGGGTCCTCTCCCTCTGTTAATGATCTCCTATCTATCCTGTGCATAGCTCCATTTGTAAGCAGTGGTTTGCATACTCTCTCCCCCATCCGACTGTAAGCTTCTTGAGGGTAGGGATCGTCCTTTGTCTCTTTTTGTATCCCTAGTGCTTAGCGAGTAGTCAGAGCCTGATAAATGTTTGCTGTTTATTGCTCGACTGACGTGACTTGCCCAGGGCTGGTGTGTTCTAGGCCAGCTTTCTTCCAACATTCCACCTTCCTCTCCTTCACTCCATTTTTTCTGTTGTCTTTGGACAGGACCTGTGATGTTATTGTGATTTTATTAGGGAAGGAGATTCCTGTGGAAGAAACTCTGGAATCACCTGGGGCACCTCAGTCTCAACCCCAGGAAATCCAGCTTCCCTTCTCCTCATTCCTGAAATGTTGAAAGGACCTCACTCAAACTTCTGAAGGACTTTCTTATCTTGGAGCTAAATCCTTTGGGCGTTTGAAGGTTGTCTTTGATCTCTTGGACACCTGACAGAGGCCAATCCCCTTCTTCATTCCTTCTTTTGTCTAGATTTCTGAAACAAGGCACTTGTGGCTTTTTCATCTCCAATCTCTCAGACTGCCCCCTCTGTTGCCCCCTTAGCCTGCTCCCACCCCCTGACAAGTGGGCACCCCCAAGTTTCTCTCTTTGGCCTTCTTGTCTCTTAGCCTTAGGTGTGACCTCTATAGGTAACATGTAGTGGAAAGAACTCACATGCCCTGGCTTGAGCCTTGTACTTTTTCTGTGGACCTTGGCCAAATCACCTAACGACTTTAGCCTCCCAGGTTTTTCTCTGCAACTCTAGGAGGTGGCATTTGACTAGATTGGCCAATGTCATTTTCCATCTCAAAAATGCTATGACTTTATGACTCGAAAATCTTTTTGACCGGTAGATGGTGCAATGGGTAGAATTCTGGCCTACAATCAGGAAGACCTGAGTTCAAATGCTGCTCCAGACACTTGCTATATGATCCTCTGTAGGTCCCTTTACCTCTCAGCCTCAGTTTTGTCATCTGTAAAATGAGGAGATATATATATATATATATAAAATAGCACTACTTCACAAGGTTGTGAGGATCAAGCATAGTAACATATGAAGCGCTTTGCAAACCTTAAAGTGCTATAGAAATACTTGCTGTTATCATTAATTACTAATAATAATCCTCTCCATACCCAGCCTCTCCTTGGAGCTGAGGCTCCAATTTTTTCTACTATTTGCTGGTCATCTCCATCTGGATTGTACACACACTTTAACATGTCCAAACCTGAGCTCCCCATCACTCCCGAAACCTGTTCCCCATGCCCCTTATTTTCCGATTTCTGTTGCAGGTACCACCATCTTCCCAGTTACCCTGGATCAAAAGCTGAAGTCAGTTTTGACATTTTTGACCAGTTAAATTTCTTCTCCTTCACTCCCCTCATCCAATTAATTGACAAATCCTGGTGAAGTCTACCTCTTCAATTTGTCCAATAGCTCTCCTCTCCTCAACTCCTATCACCACCAGCCTTGTTCATTCCCTCCTCATTTCCCAGCTCCCTATTATAGTTCCTGTAACTGGACATCTTGCCTCCAGGAGTGTCCCAACTTCCTCTCCTCTCCCTTCTTAACAGTCTGGCTGATGGCCCCATCATTCAGCCAAAATTGCCCAAAGTTACCATGGATCTTGTAATTTTTGTTCTTCAGTAGCACAGTCATGTCTGACTCTTCATGACTCCACCGACCACAGCACCCCAGGCCCTTCTCTCCTCCACTATCTCCCAAGCTCATGTTCCGTGCTCCATGACACTGTCCATCTAGCTCATCCTCTGCCATCCCCTTTTTCCTTTTTCCTTCAATCTTTCCTACCACCAGGGTCTTTTCTGATAAGTCCCGTCTCCTCATTATGTGGCGACAGTATTTAAGCTTCAACGTCAGTATTTGACCTTCCACTGAATAGCTTGAATTAATCTCTTTAAGTATTGACTGAGTTGATCTCCTTGCTGTCCAAGGGACTCTCAAAAAGTCTTCTCCAGGGGCAGCTAGGTGCACCAGCCCTGAAGTCAGGAGGACCTGTGTTCAAATTTGGCCACAGACCAAACTCTTGACACTTACTAGCTGTGTGACTCTGGGCATGTCATTTAACCCCAATTGCCTAAAAAAAAAACAAAAAAAAGTCTTCTCCAGCAACATTTGAAAGCATTAAACTCTCACCTCCATACATTGCTACTGGAAAAGCCATAGCTTTGACTATATGGGCCTCAAGATGATGTCTTTGCTTTTTAGTATGTTTTCCAGAGTTGCCAAAGCTTTCCTTCCAAGGAGCAAGTGTCTTTTAATTTCATGGCTGCAGTGGCCTTTCAGCCCAAGAATATAAAATCTGACACTGCTTCCATTTTTTCTCCCTCTGTTTGCCAGGAAGTGATGGACCACTTGCCAAAATCTTAGTTTTTTGGATGTGAAGCTTTAAGCCGGCTTTTACACTCTCCTCTTCCATCCTCATCAAGAGGCTTCTTAATTCTGCTTCACTTTCTGCCACCAGAGTGGTATCCTCTGCATATCTGAGAGTGTGGACATTCCTCCCAGCAACCTTCCTTCCGGCGTTCGATTCACCCAGCCTGGCACTCCACACAATGTGCTCCGCATAGAAGTTAAATAAGGCGACAGTATACAGCCTTGCTGTACTCCTTTTCCAGTCATAACCCAAGCAGCTGTTCCATGTTTGGTTCTCACTGTTGCTCCTTGGCCCGAGTACA